CCTTCCCTTCACATCAATCCTAGCCCAATCATCTTGCTTCAGGATTGCATAAACACAAAAAACTAAGCATTCTTTGGGATCAATGTACCCTTCCTTGATTTTGCCCAATGGAGTTAACCACAAAGATCTCACTCTTGGTTACAACCCCATTTTGGTGGTGCAGAAGTTGAGCAAAATCACTCTTTGAGTTACTGTTAGGGCATGGTACGTGGATCAAACCTAGAAAGTGAGTTTATTTTTTTTTTTCTTTCTCTGTTTGATGGAATTAAATCTCGGTTTCCTTCTTCAATGGAGTTGATGGGATGCATCCAGCAGGGGCCGCTCTTTCCACTGCTAAGGCTTGATTCTCTTCTCTTCTCTTCTCTTCTCTTCTCTTCTCTTCTCTTCTCTTCTCTTCTCTTCTCTTCTCTTCTTTCTCTAGAATTGAATGGGGGGTAACATCCAAGCTAGCTCATTCCCAAAGGAGATGTTGGGCTTCGTTTTGATTTAGTATTTGGAAATCAACCACCCTAATCTTTTAGCCACAGTTCCTTTGCTCTGTGTTCTCATATTCAGGGGTGTGTGTGTCTGTGTGTGTGTCTGTGTGTGCCCTGAAAGCAATTTGCTGTAAGACTTCGTTGCTGTCTTGCTGGCAGTGGTGCAGCTGCTACAAACATCCCAGTCAGAATAACCACGGTTAGACATTTGTGCTGCAGGTTTCAGAAGTGGCCTGTCGGAAGTGCATCATCTCGATGCTGCGCGTGACAACAACCGCTCCAGAGTCTGTTCTGACCTCTTCAATACCTCTGGAAAGAATTTGCAGGGAATGCCAGGTTTTGCAATGCCATCCCACTCAATCCGCTCAATTAAAGACCGTGCAAGTTTGCACAACATACATAACTGGATTAGAGTTCCAGGGAGCGAATTTGCAAAAACAGACTGAGCCGGCTCGGTGTTATCTCTAGCAGTTGTGTGTGCACGCGTGAGGAAGGGGGCTGTGGGTTGTTTTTGTAGTTACGTAAACCCAGCGCGTTTGGTTGGTGATTGTTGCAAGGTGTTATGTGAACCTTGAACAATGAATTAGTTTCAGCCAACCAAACCATCTTGTCTGCATCCAAATACTGGAGGGGTCAGGAATTCTGAGCCTTCTGTGTACACTTAGGTTTGAAATAAAGGAATATCAGAACACGTACCTGGGACTTTGGAGAAGTCTTGCTTGCTTTGGGTTTTTGGTTTTTTGTTTTTTACATTTTGGAACGGGCAACAATCAAGTTGCCTGCCTCAGAGGAATAACAAAAATGTCTTATGTTTTATTCAGTATCTTCTCAAGATCCAGAGCTCTTGCTTTCTCTAATTTGCTCTCTTCCTTCCTTGCTGCTTAATGAACGGATGCAAATGGGAGTCCAGTTTGACCTCCAAGTCAGAGATGCTCTTGACAAATCTAGACAGTTTTTCTTTCCCTTGGTTTGTGGCTCTGGATTTATTCTGACTTCTGAGTCCAACAGAATTCCTGAACAGCAGATTGGTGGGGAACGAACCGGGAGTGAGAGTCTAAAACATATGTTGGAATATAGCAAGAGGAGGAGGAGAAGGGGGGGGAGGAGGGGAAGGAGGAAAAGGAAAAGGAGGAGGAGGAGAAGGAGGAGGAGGAGGAAGAGGAGAAGGAGGAAAACGACTGTGGGGTCCTTAGTACTCTCTGAGCTTGCTGGTTTTCTTAAAGATGTTTTGTGACCCAACTAGGTAACATCATCAGTGCTAGAAGTGAGTGGGGTTGCAGGAGGAGGAGGAGGTCATCTTTGGTCTACACTGAATGTTATGGTTTTCTTGCAGACATTTCATGACCCAACTGAGTTACATTATCCGTGCTAGAAAGGAATGGGGTTTCTGGAGAGGAGGAGGAGGAAGGGGAAGAGGAGGAGGACTGTGGGGTCTTTGGTGTTCCCTGAACTTTATGGTTTTCTTGCAGATTTCTCATGACCCAACTGAGTTACGTTATCAGTGCTAGAAGGGAACGGGGTTTGAGGAGAGGAGGAGGAGGAGGAGGAGGAGGAGGAGGAGGAGGAGGAGGAGGAGGAGGAGGATTGCAATAGTGGCAAATATCTGTAGCTCTGGTGGAGGGTGAGGGTGGACGTTCGTTCTCGGAGCTTGTGAGTTGCTTTCCGAACGTTTCGTTACCAGGCTAGGTAACGTCTTCAGTGGAGTTTGGGGAAGTCAACGTCAGTGTTCTCCTGTTGATAAGGGCTTCAGGAGACAACGAGGAGGGTTAATCCCCACTCCAGTTGATGTTGATGTTGATAGAGAAGAGGAAGAAAAGAAGAAAAGGAGAAGGAGGAAGAAATATCTTCTCTTTGATGATGAGGATAAAGAAGAACAAGATCAAGAGAAGAAGGTAGCTTCAACGCTGATATATGTTTTGTCTTTACACGCGAACGTCCGACGCGCTGTTACCTCTGAAGGTCCTCAATTGATCGTTTTTTGCCCCCAGTGAAGTGAAGGATGAGCAAAGCAAGGAGGAGAGAAAATGAAATCCCTTCTGAAAGATGAGAAGGCATCGCCATCCTTTCATCCTCCACTTTGTCTCTCCAGAGGCCAGCTGCAGCCCTGTGCAAATCTACCAGGAGGGCTTGATTTTGTGATGTCATTTACCCAGAATATTCAACGCTATCTTGTCCTCCGAGTTGAGCTTCCACTTAGGAAGATGTTTGCTCCTTCCCAACGCACGGTGGGTTTACAGTCGATCCTAAGTGAATTTTTTGGGAGACACGGAGGCTTTAGGGTAGGGCGGGCGGCTGAGTAGTAGCCAAGAAGCCTCTCTTTCCCTCCTTCTCTCTTACATCAATGTCAAGTTTGTTTCATCGGCTGAAGTCAACAGGCTTGGGAATCGGATTGCGTGTACGGGCTGTGTGTGTGGCTGAGTGTTCAAAGAGGAGGCAACAGACCTTTGAGAACTGTGCACTGATGCACCTGTGTCTCTGCTTGGAATGAAATGCAGCCCCCTCTGTCTATTCTTCAAGGTGTGACTCAGAAGCTCTAGCTGTCCTCGTTCTGTAGAGCTTGCAATTCACCCCCCAATTACTTGATCTTGAGAACCAAGCCCAGCTATTGATAGAAACGCTGGAACCCAGAACGCATGTAGGTAACTAAGGTGAGCTGAGGTGTTTTAAGGACTCGGCAACTTCCGATGACTCAGACAGTTCCAGTAGCTAAAGAGGCGTACATTACTAAGAAAATATAATTTATCCTATCATTAAGTCCCAAAAGAGCCCCTGTTCTTAAGCGAGGAGGTAGCTGGGGTGTGGAATGTGAGGACACCATACTACAAAAAAGATGTTGAGACTTTGGGAAAAGTTCAGAGAAGAGCAACTAAGATGACCCAAGGCCTGGAGACTAAAACATACAAAGAACGGCTGCAGGACTTGGGTTTGGCTAGTCTAAAGAAAAGAAGAAATAGGGGAGACAGGATAGCAGTGTTCCAGTATCTGAGAAGCTGCTACAAAGAAGAGGGGGTCATGTTATTCACCAAAGCACCAGAGGGCAGGACAAGAAACAATGGTTGGAAACTGACCAAACAGAGAAGCAGCCTGGAATTAAGGAGAAACTTCCTAACAGTGAGGACAATTAACCAGTGGAACAGCTTTGCCTCCAGAAATCGTGGATGCTCCATCACTGAAAGTTTTTAAGAAGAAACTGGACAGTCACTTGTCTGAAATGGTATAGGGTCTCCTGCTTGAGCAGTGGGCTGGACTAGAAGACCTCCAAAGTCCCTTCCAGCTCTATTCTGTGTGACAACACCTGTTCTTCTTAAGTGCCTGCCCTGCCCTGAGGTGATGGAGAACCAGACCCATCTCTATAAAAGATTCCTCGGCTACCCCAGTTAAATCTAACTCTGTTTTTTAGTTCTGGGAGAAGCTGCTGAAGGCCAGCTTAATTTGGGTTCCCCTCGTTCAGGGGTGGGGAACCATGGCCCTTTTATGACTCGTGGACTTCAACTCCCAGAATTTCTGAGCCAGCCTGGCTCAGCTTGGAAACCTCTCCCTTTCCCCTCAGCATGGCTGGCTCAGGAATTCTGGAAGTTGAAGTCCACGAGTCATAAAAGAGCCAAAGTGGCCTACCCCTGAGCTAGTTCAAGATTGCAAGCCTACTCGTGCCTTACTCTGGGAGTCTGGGGTAACTAATATAAGAGGAATGGAATAACTGTCTTTCAACGGTACTCCTTCACCTGGGCTGTCATCCAGCACCCGACCACTAGAGGGCCACAGACAGGGGTTCTCTTTGCAGCCCCCTAGCGGTCTCTCAGAGCGGCGCACCCCTCATTCCACCTTGCTCGCCGCAGGCTGCCGGCTCTCCCTTTGCCCCGTAGTAGCCTTGTAGTTTCCAAAGCAGGCGACAACAGCTCTCCTCGCGAGTAATCGCGGGGGGAAGGGGGCTGCGGGGGTGGCGCAAGCGCGCTCCTTGGCTCGCTAGCCGACTTTTAGCCCTGCCAGATCTTTGGACTGAAAGCAAAAGGAGGGAGGGGGGGCTGTAAAAAAAAAAAAGCGAGAAGGGGAGGAGGGGGTCGAGAGAGAAAAATCCTTCCTCGGATTGGACAGCCTGCCTGGGAAGGACCCGCCTCTGCTCGTCTTCCTCGCTCTTGTCTACGAGTCTCTAGGGTTGCGGGGTTGCTGGTTGACCCCCCCCCCCGGGGGCTCTCTCTCTCTCTCTCTCTCTCTCTCTCTCTCTCTCTCTCTCTCTCTCTCTCTGGGTGTCCTGTCGGACGGCAGCTGCCCCCCCCCGACCCCCATCCCCACTCTTCCCAGCCCCCTCCTCCCTTAAAGAAGGATGGGTCGCTCTTCTCCTTTTTGGTGACTTTTTTTTTTTTTTTTTGCAAAATCCAAGTTGCGCTTCCCACGCTGGGCGCAGGCGTTCCTCGAAGGGACGGCGTTGAAGTCACCAAAGGAAGGGTGCTATCAGTTCGACTGCCCTCCCCCCCCCCTGCAGGACCCTTCCTCTCCCCCCCCCATCCTCAGTTTCCAGGCCCCTCCCCGGCTGAAGCAAGGAGGGGCCAGAAAAGAAGAAGAAGAAGAAACAGAAAAAACTTTCCATCTCCAACAACGCCTCCCTGCGCCTTGCGCTGCGCGCCCTCTCCGCGAGGAAAGAAGGCTTTCCTGGATGGCCGAGAGCCGGGAAAAGCTCAGAGGTGGCTGGCTGGCTGGGCACAGCCTCTTCTCTTCCCGCCGACAACGTCTGGAGCAGAAAGTGACCGGGAGAAAGGACTGATGTGGATGGAGACGAACAGAGGGCGACGCGTCCTCCTCCAGAAAAAACCGAGGCGATTTGGCTGTGGATCCGGCTTGAAGTCTTGAAAAGCGGCTCGCCCCGACCCCGCTGCCGCCCCACGGGGAAGGAAGGGTTGTGGGGGGGGTCTTCAGGATGGGGGCTGCCCCCAGCGGTCTTCTCCTGGCTGTCAGCTCGCTCTTGGGAGCCCTGCTTTGCAAAGGTGAGTCCGCGGGCGCCTTCGGAGCTGAGCTGGGAAAGGGGTGGTGGGGAGGCTCTGTGTGTGTGTGTGTGTGTGTGTGTGTGTGTGTGTGTGTGTGTGTGTGTGATGGGGTGGGAGGCTCTGGGGGGGGCTGCAGGAAACAGGGTGGCCGACTTCTCTGGGACCCCCCACTGCTCCTAGGCTTTAAATGGGGATGGGGAGTTTCACACCAGGAGTATATAAGCTTTGTCCAGGTGAAAGATGTTAAAAGTGCATTGGGCAACTTTTGTTAGGAAATTGCAAGGAGGTGGTGGGCAGTGGGTTTTTTTGCAAACCTGCCTTAAACCAGGGTGGGAGGGCACACCTCTGTGCAGCTTACACTGAGTTGGAATCCATGAGCTACCAATTTACCCCTTATCCTGGCTAGCCTGTTCTGTTCCATCCATTGGGAGGAAGCATGCATCCGCTGTGCAACTTACACCGAGTTGGAATCCGTGGGCTACCGGCACCACTTTATCCCTTATCCTAGCCTGCTCTGTTTAATGCCATGCAACTACCTGGGTGTGATTCCCAAACTGGAAGAGACTTCCTTCTCTTTTGCCTAGTTGGAACCAAGAGTGTGCTAGAAGTGTGTAAACCCAGGTGTGAATTGAATTGAATTGAATCTTTATTTGGCCAGGTGTGATTAGACACACAAGGAATTTGTCTCCGGTGCAGAAGCTCTCAGTGTACATGCAAAGCAACAGAAATAATAATAATAATAATAATAATAATAATAATAATAATAAGAAGAAGAAGAAGAAGAAGAAGAAGAAGAAGAAGAAGAAGAAGAAGAAGAAGAAGAAGAAGAAGAAGAAGAAGAAGAAGAAGAAGAAGAAGAAGAAGAAGAAGAAGAAGAAGAAGAAGAAGAAGAAGTAGTAGTAGTAGTAGTAGTAGTAGTAGTAGTAGTAGTCCTGGGTAAGGACTCGATAGGTAGACAAAATGCCAAATCCAGTCTGAACATCTGGCTGACTGTGCGATGATCCATAATCATCATCATCATCATCATCCAGTCTGAAATCTGGCTGACTGTGCGATGATTAATAATAATAATAATAATAATAGTAGTAATAATAATAAATATAACAACAATTAGAAAAAATAACAAAATATCATGATCTGCAAATTGAAGTTGAGCGATGGTGGAGGAAGAAATAAATGGTTATACTCAGTGGTAACAGGAGCCCTTGGAGCAATACCAAATGGCTGCTTAGATACATGGAAAATTTGAACTTATTAGACCTGAATATTCTGACTTTGCAAAAAAAAAAAAATCACCTTACTCGGAACTGCCTATATACTTAACAACGCTTAGGTCCTTGGTTAGGACTTGAACTGGTAAGTTTTTACCAGTCTCAAACAGTGAATTGAATTGAAGATTAAATTATTTAATAATAATAATAATAATAATAATAATAATAATAATAATAATAATAAATGCCACAGAAAAGCAGAAGTGTTACAGAAGAGAGAGGACTGTAACATTAAAAATAATAATAAATCCCAATGATTCTAGCCAGGAAACCAAGTGGCATATTTAACAGTTGATTTTGTCATGACTGCAACTTGAACATCTGTTTATCTGACTCATGGACAGTTCCAAATATTGGGAGAAATATTTCTGGGGCCTTTCTTTCTTTCTTTCTTTCTTTCTTTCTTTCTTTCTTTCTTTCTTTCTTTCTTTCTTTCTTTCTTTTTTCCTCTCTGTTACCTTTCTGGATGCAACAGAAATAAGATAGACCTCTTCAGTTTCCTTTCCCCTTCACAACACATTGATTGATTGATTGATTGATTGATCGATCGATCCATTCATTCGTTCATTCATTCATTCAGAGTAAGGCTGCCCAGCTCTAAATGTTTTTTGGACAAGGTGCACAATAGACCTGAAAATAATATAATAGGTTCTGGAGATAAGATTTTTTTTCTTCTAAATGCAATTGGTAACTTGCAGATCATATTAGGGTGTGCACAGGATCTACTATGCACATATCCCTTCCCCCACCCTTCTTCCTAGCAATTTTCCTTGGAGAACCGATGAACTGACTTCACAGCTTAGAGGCAAAACATTTAAACCATGTCTCTGTGTTGACCAAGATGGAGAAATTCATAGATAGGGATGGATACGGTGCTCTAATGCAGTAATTTAATAAACAACTTGCTTTATTTAATGTTTAATATCTTAAGGGGGTGAAAGGAACTGGATGGATGGATGGGATCCCATCAGATCAAATTTAGTGCGGCCCCATCATCCCAAAATATCTATCCTTGTTTCCCATCTAAAAGGCAGCTGTTTGTCTCTTAGAATGAGATTTGAAGAATGACGGATTGTAGAAACTAGAAAAATAGCTTCCGAATCGGATCAGTAAAAATTGAAGTCCCGATGTGTCCCTCGTATGATGGATGGAATCAGAGCAGGAGTTGAACATTTCTGCTGAATAACAACTTGAGGAAGATTGTTGAGTTATGGCAAACTTATCTGGCTGTGATTAAAGCAGAAGGCTCTGGTTCTGGGTTCAAGTCTAGGTTTTTATAAGCAGGGCCGGGGAGATCTTTGTCTTTCGTGCTTTACTGGATCACCACATCTAAGACAGAATTTTAAACTCTCTTATGCCACTGTTGATGGAACTCTTTAACTGCTTGATCCCACTTCCCTTTCTCCTTCTGTATTCCCAACTCGGGGAGAAAAAAAGATTTGTGGAAATGTTTTGCCTTATATTGCAAAGTGGTTTGGCTTTTTGGTGAACGCTTGGGAGAAAGATCTTCCATTTCCACCCATGTGAGAAGGAACTGTGAAGGTATTTAGACATATTCCCTTCCCCTTGCTAACATAACCATTGCTTTGCACCCGGATCAAAGCAAAGAAAATCAGAATTTAATTCGCCTAGCTATTTAATTCAGGGCCATTTGCCCGAAGTCTGAAAACTGTGAACTGCTCTCCCCTTCTCCCAGAAAGCACCAAAATGAGTCAAATAAAACAGGATACTTTATTATTTTTAGTGAAAAGCCAGTTGTCTACCCTTGTCAGCACCTCGTTCAATCTTCTGCAATCTTCTGCCATATCTCCCAAGATGCAAATTATTGTGTGTGATTTTGTCAGAGACAGAGACACACACAAACATGCTGTTGGGGGGTCTAAATCTCTGCTTTATCCTGGCTTTTGAAAGTCTGAGATACTGTCAGACAATCCTGGCAACAGACGAACGGAGGGCTTGGCGAGGTTGGCGGCCACTGTGTACCTCTTGACCTACAAACAATTTGATTCCTCTGCTTATCCTACCAACAGGAGCTGAACTGTTGAGAATGACGTAAGGAGATTACTAATAAAAGGCCCGCTTGGTTTTTGTCGCTGTTTTCCCTGGCTCTTTCACCCAACCCCCAGCTGGCTTGCCACTGCTTCTTTTAAGGGTGATGAGTTGGAAATCACAGAATAACAAGAGTTAGAAGGGAACTTAATGGTCTTCTAGTCCAACCCCCCCCCCTACTCAAAACAGGAGACCCTAATACCGTTTCAGATATCCCAATCTCTTCTGGAAAACGTCCAATGAGGGAGGCCCCCCCCCAACTTCTGAAGGCAAGTCATTCCACTGATTAATTGTTCTCACTGTCAGGAAATTCCTCCTTAATTCTAGGTTGGTTCTCTCCTTGATTAGTTTCTATCCATTGCCCTTCCTTCCTTCTTTCCTCCCTCCCTCCCTCCCTCCCTCCCTTCCTCCCTCCCTTCCTTCTTTCCTTCCTCCCTCCCTCCCTCCTTAGTTCCAGGTTGCTTCTCTCCTTGATTAGTTTCCATCCATTGCCCTTCCTTCCTCCCTCCCTCCCTCCCTCCCTGCCTTCCTTCCTTCCTTCCCTCCCTCCCTCCCTTGCTCCCTCTCTCCCTCCCTTTCCTCCCTCCTCCCTCCCTCCCTTCCTTCCTTCCCTTCCTTTCCTTCCTTCCTTCCTTCCTTCCTTCCTTCCTTCCTTCCTTCCTTCCTTCCTTCCTTCCTAACATCCTCCCTCCCTCCCTCCCTCCCTCCCTCCTTAGTTCCAGGTTGCTTCTCTCCTTGATTAGTTTCCATCCGTTGCTTCTTGTCCTGCCTTCAGGCGCTTTGGAGAATAGCTTGACTCCCTCTTCTTTGGGGCAGCCCCAGAGATTTTGGAACCCTGATATCATGTCGCCCCTAATCCTTCTCTAATCCTTAGACTAGACTTACCCAATTCCTGCAACCAACTCAATACATTTAATATAAATCCAGTGGGTGGATCTCGAAAGAGGACGCCCAGACTGAGTTTAAAAAAATAAATAAAATGATTTTCCTTTGCTAACATGACTCTTGGAGGAGAAATGCCGTGTAAAAATGCCGAGCCATTGAGTCAAACTCTTCCAGAGGGTATTCAAAGGGGTCTCCTTGTGCTAGTAGGACTGAGGTTTAAAATTTCCCCCAAAGAGAGAACGGGTGGGTGGGTGAAAGGGACAAATGAGGGGCAGGATGGATGTGCATTTAATTTTAATTCTGAGCTAAAATCTCCTTTGGAGATTGAGTTCAGTTTGGGGGAAAAATTTGTCTCTCCTTTTTCTACACGGTGGCTTTAGCGTTCACAGAAGACGTTTGAACCTGGTTACGGAGTAAATCCCTATTCTGTGTTTGGGCAATGCACGGAGCCTGAAGCTAATTTAATATTCTGGATTCACTGAGCACACAAATATTTAGCATTTGTTACTGTCGGGCTGCTGGACCGGCGCAGAAAACATCCTGTGAAAAGCAGGATGTTTGGGTTCGCTTCTGTAACGTTCTCCTTTTGTGGCGAGCGTGCCACAAAAGGTGGATGTATAAAAACACAACTCCCCCTGACTGTATTGCACCAGGCCTAGGTTGGTCCCCCCCCCCCCCGTTTATGGCTTCTCTGAAAGGAAGGCAGTTGAAAAGTTCACCCATTTTTCAGGGTTTTGTTGATATATATACAATACACACACACACACACACAGACAGACATATATATATATATAT